AAACTCACAAATCTTCCAACGATTCATCATTAACACAATGAACTTTGTTTTAAAATCATTGAGGAATTTGTTATTAATGTAGCATTTAAAAAGAACATTAAAAAATGCGTGATATTAAAATACAAAAAAAAATGTGAACCGAGTTCGTCCCTCGATATCAAAGCCCCACCCGCCCGCCGGCCGCTAGGCGGCTTCATTATTATGTCGATATTTTCCGGTCGATCAGTCGCCGTCGACCTTTTGCGCTGGAGTGTTGTTGCGCATCGCCGCCGACGCACCGCTGCGAAACGTCTTTTTTGTCGATTTTTGTTTTGTTCTAGTGCATTTTTAATTGAATTTTTGTTAATAAGATACGAGAGTGTTCGTCTTGAGTGTTAAGTTTAGTTTTGTGTGAAATGTGTTGTGTTTTGCGCGTGCATGCACCGGCATTGAAAAGAGCGTGCTTAGCTCAGTCTTGAGAGAGGAAGTGGACATTTTCAGCATCGACTCTCATTAAGATATCGGTAAATAATTAAATTAAATTAATGTATTTCGCGGTTCGTTGTAATCTGCACACAATCGATATTGCGCATGCGCGTTATAGGGCTGTTAACACTTAGAAATTTTAAATTTTTACTCCATTTTTACACCTCCTCTATTTTTAAATATTTGTCAAATAAAATGAACGTTTGCATGTAACCTAACTTGAAACTTTCGGCTGTGTCGGTCATTTTGTTCCTCCCAGTATATTGGAACAGAGTACCCTCAGCTGATAAGCAAGCCGAGCGAGATATCAAGTACAGAGGCTATTTGCCCCTATCTAATAGGGCGATAATATCTTATACAGGAATATTTTTTATCCAGTGCAAAAATTTTTTTTGGTGATTCAGTATCAGTAATAGAACACCTTTCCATAATTAGTTAAAACTTTTTTTTTAAATATTTTTATCCCTATTGAAACGGTAGAATATGGACATAATTTTTTAAATAAAACTTCAATGAAAACGTCTCCTCTTGCGTATACCACCGTGCATCCCCGCCGCTCCCGGCAGCCCCCCGCCACAGTCCCCGCCGCGCTGCCGCTCCCGGCAACCCCCCGCCACAGCCCCCGCCGCCCTGCCGCTCCCGGCAGCCACCCGCCACAGCCCCCGCCGCCCTTCAAAGGCGCGCGCCGCAGTGGCCGCAGTGAGACTCATACGCACGCGCCGCTTTGATGTGTTTTCGTGTTCCCGCGCAAGCACAGTGTCCGTCGTTCGCGCCTTTCGTGTTGTAGGTTTTTTCTGATAACGATGTCAGAATTTACCAGTCGTGAGTTTTACGAGATGGTACGAGTTTACCTTCTAAGTGGTGAGAACTTAAGTGCAGCTCGGAGAATGTACGCGACGGAGAGCATACCTCGTATGCGAGCCTTTGGGATCCGTAACCCCGCGATACCTAATACAAGAACCATTTTGGCAGCCAATCAAAGGCTGCTCGATCACGGCCAATTCATTACCCCGAGTCATGCACGAGGGTCTGGCAGACCTCGCCTGGCAGTCGAATTAGAAGAAACAATTTTTGAATTCTTTGAACGAAATCCCAGAGCCAGTACCCACGATGCGGCACGTCGTTTTGGTGTGAGCCAGCCTGCGGTATGGAAGCTACTTAATACAGCCGGACTCCATCCGTACCATTTTCAGCCGGTTCAGCAACTCCATGACATAGACCCAGTACCACGTCGAGCCTTATGTGAGTGGCTTCTACATCACCGCGATGTAAATATCTTGTGGACGGATGAGGCATTGTTCACACGTGTGGGACTGTACAATGTGCATAATGAACATTGGTGGTCATTTAATAATCCCCATTTAGTAAGAGAAACACATCACCAAGTGCGTTTTAGCGCTAATGTGTGGGCGGGGATAATTAAAAATAAAATAATAGGGCCCATTTTTATCGACGGCGCCTTAACCGGAACGAGTTATTTAGAAATGTTACAGAATACAATAGAAAATTTGACTGAAGAAATACCGTTGTCGTACTTCAGGAATTTTTATTTTCAGCACGATGGCGCTCCACCTCATTACGCCATACAGGTACGAAACTACCTGAATGAAAAATACGGAGAAAATTGGATCGGTCGTGGTGGCCCCGTACCGTGGCCGGCTAGGTCTCCGGACCTTACACCCTGCGATTTCTTCTTATGGGGAGAAGTCAAACGCCGAGTGTATGTAGAGGAGGCACAAAGCCTAGAAGACTTAAAACAAAAAATTAATAACGCTTTTAGTGAAGTGAAAAGTGACACTAGTGTTTTGAATAAATTAAATGACAATTTAATAAAACGTGCACGATTATGTCTGGAAAGAGGTGGACTTCATTTTGAACAATTATTAAAATACAGCGATTAGTACATTGTAAGTAATTTTACTCGTAGTTAGGTATCATTTTTGATTGGACATTATTGTAAATACGTAGTTGATTCCAATTTTTTAAATACGCCTTAACGCAGAAGTACCTAAACTATGTAACCTCGGCATAACGTTAATATTTTTTCTAGGTAACTAATTTGTTTCTCTTTTATTTTCTGCATTTTGATGGTCCTAAGCCCATAAAAGTATGAAGGGAAAATTGGAATTACTCTTACAAATCACCTCAGGTCATGGCATAAATTCTAGTTCGAATCTAACAAAATGAGCGGTCAGTGACCCACGCTCGACGCCGTGATACCTACTTAGGTATAACAGCATCGAGCGCGCGCTCAGCTGACGCACGGCGCGTGTTGTCCATTAAATTTAGTTTTAAAGTCTCGATCTTTGATAAGCGATAACTTTATTTTTTAGTATGAGGACATATCAAAATAAAAAATACGTGTTTGTTTAAATTACTTAAAGTTTATTTTCACAAAATCTTCGCAGTGGTTTTAAATTATTCCTGTATATATAAAAAATTTGTGTCACGATGTATGTTTTAATTGTTTCTTAAGCAAGTGTTTATTTACTGTTTAGTTTTATGAAGTTCTCATAGATGGCGGTTTACGTTGATTCATAGGTAAAATTCTTCAATATCGTTTGACATCTAGGTTGCAAATACACCCAATAGATGACGCTGTGTTTTAGATGACGTTTATTCTAAAGTAATCTGCGCTAACGTTTCTTTCAAAGAATTTTGCATAGATAACGTTTTCGATTAAGTTTTTTGTAAACTTCAGAACTGTGTTTGTTTTCATATCTATTTTAAATAACATTGAATTGGATTAATATATCTAAAGTTTCAAAGATAAAGTGCTGAAACATATTGGACCTTTGTTGGTTTTTTTGTTGTACTATCTTCGAACTTAAACATCAAGGTAATTTCATCATCAGCTCAAAAAACAACTACGTTTTTGGAAAATATATGTTGCCCAAAGTAACTATATCACGCGGACGAAGTCGCGGGCAAAAGCTAGTCATTTTATAAAGTGAGACATTTCATAAGGTTCATTTTTTTAACTACTGCTTTAATGATGTGATGACAATCTCAAGTGTTTATTTACTCATGAGATTGATGATTTGATCTGTCAATATCGGTTACAAATCGTACTCAATCAATTATCAATTATATTAGATGGCTCGTTAGTTTTCAAAACTCAATAAACAATTTATATTCTATTTGTTCGTTTTCGTATTTGTATTGATATCTAAGTTTCGAACTTTGCAAATTTCCGTTTTTTAATATGTTAGTTAAAAGGAGGAAGGATCGTTTCCTGAAAAAATCAACTCTTGTTGGAGTCGCCATCCAGTGGAGGTGCTTTTTAGTGCTTCCTTTTTTTAAAAAAGACTTCCTCATTCAATTCACAATCCGACTTTATTTACTTAATAAAATTACAAAAATAGTTATACAACCATAACCTACACTCCTTCGACTTCACAAATCAAGTCACTGATCTCGCTTCACAAGATTATCGATAGTCCCGATATTTCACTTCACTAGTTTTTGCCTCCTATCGCTCTCGTATTCAGTTCACTAGTCACTGAAAGAATGTTAGGAGTACTATTATTCTATGGAAAGAATGCCGGATCGGCTAGCCTACCACGTATTTATAAGGGCTGATACCTGTGGCTGATACCATGTCTATAATGTTCTAGGTTGCCCTATCGGAGTACACGGGGCTTTACTAAAGTGCTCTAGAACGCCTACCCGTCACTTTCTTCCCCAGTGATTGTCCCTTTCTCGCACGCCGTATACCTATATTACACACGGAGTTTCGACGGTGTTAGCACGATTCAAATGGCACGTAATTCCCAGTAACGGGTACATGAAACATCGCGTCGCTGCGCTCTGTAACAATAGTTTGCTATGACCACATACACATCATCCACATATGTATTACGAGACTTCATAGTAAACGATGTTGTTAGATTTACAATGTTGTTATTTTTATCTTAATCGTGAAAAACCATATTGCAACAACTACAAGATTCACTTGGACAAATATAAACGATATCGTCATGACACTTTAAAGGGTAACCACTAGGAAAAATATGTAAACAAATGGGATATATGGTATTAATTAATACTATATTGTTCATACATTTTTAAAATAGTTACCATTAAAATACAAGTGTTACCAATAAGGTTATTTTAGTTAAAAATTGAAACAGCGATATATTTTTATATGCAATGGCAAGATGCGAAAACGAGACACACCACACGACCTCCGTTGTGACTTCGGCTAGGATTAGCTTCTGTAGAAGGAACAAAGAAAAGTACACTTTAATTGATAGTAATAAATTTCATTTTTGTTATGACAATTTTCAGATTTATAATATAAGTTCTATTATATGAGTAACACGTCCATGAAAATAAGTCAAATTAGTGTCTCTGTGCATGACCCCGACTGTCTTTACTCTATGGTTATAGAGTAAAATATTTACTGGTAGTACAAGTTCCGGTTTGTACCATAGACTTTTTAAGTACATTTTGACAGTTTTAAGAATTTGATATTTATTTTTTGACAGCTGTAACTATTCACTCTCGGTCAGTAGGTAATAGCAGTCAAATACAAGCAGTTTTCGTTCATTCATCGTTTGTAGAACTCTGAATTGTTTCGTGCTCTTTCAATTTTGCATTAAAACTTTATTTTCGGAATGATTGCCATCACATAGTTGATTAAACATAAAAGTTAGTGTTACTGAAATAATTATAAGCTTTAAAACTGCGTTCTGTGATATCAAAGTGTCTAAATAACGAACTCTTTATATTCTAGTTGTTTATTTTTCTAAGTGTAACTCTCCGCGCTTGTATAGGGCTACGTACGTGTTGTTTTCAGCAATGGCTAATAAATTATACTTAATCGTAGCGTTGATATGTGTATTACCTATAATCTATGCCTGCAATGAAGCTATATGTGCAAGTGTTGTCTCTAAATGTATGTTGACTGGATCTTGTAAGTGCGATTTAAAAGACTGTTCGTGTTGCAAAGACTGTTTCAACTGTCTCAGTTACTTATACAGTGAGTGCTGCAGTTGCGTTGGTAAGGATACGTATTTAGTATTTATTGGTATTACCTTAAAATTGTATATAAAATGACAAGAAATCACTTATTATACACTGGTATTATGTTTAGTTTAAATTAAATAGTTTATAGATTTATGAACATAATAATGTTAAATGTTTATTTTTCTTTTAGATATGTGTCCAAAACCAAATGATACACAAACTGAACTATCCAAGTCTTCATATGTAGAAGAACTCGCTGATGGGGTGCCTGGCTTATTCTCTGCTTTGACAAGTGACATAGATCCACAAGAGCGATGGCTGTCTATAACATATCCTGTTGATATTGACTTGTCTGTGTATCGTCCGACTCCTGAAAAACAAGTGGTTTATCATCTACGTAAGTAACATAAATCAGAATTAGATTTTTATTTGTACACACAAAATAACATTTGAAATAGGCTATATAATTTTTACCATCTTATTATTTAAATATTTTACCTCTTTGAACATATTATGTGAGAATTGAAATAGTATGTATTGCTATCTATAGACTTCTGTATTATTTTCATTAAGTATAGAATAGGTATACTGGTTATAGCGTTGCCAATGTTTCTTTAGCAAAATATAGTATTAAAACAAACTAATAAATATAGTATACTTCAAAAATATATATAGTACTACTTTTCAACTAAGACAAATGTTAGCATATATACTTATTGAAACCACTTTTGAACCATTAAATTCTTTTACTACTATCTATTCAGGATGTTTTTTGGCTGTCAAGTAGAACTAGCAAACAAAGTATATCAGGTATTAACAGAAGTGACAACATTTACCTGTATGAGCCATCTATTTAAACTGTTATCAAAAATTAATACATTAAACATCTTCATATACCTACAAAGAATTTAATTGTTAGATTTTGGTGTATACTATATACATATTTCTTCAACAGTATATAGAACACAGGCCCAAAATATATTATGATTGGCAACCTTTGTTATTCAGGACCCTTAATCTCAAACCTTACTCTTTTCAATATTGGCAATAATTCATCGGAACTTAATAAAGTTCTATGGATAGAAACATATACTTTCAACACTAGCATAGGGTTATAAGATGAAATAAACCATGTGCACACTATAACACAGGATGAGGCTATAATCGAGAATGCCAAATGAAGTCCATGTTCACCTTTTTTTTTCTTTAGCTGCAATACATCATTTAAGTGAAATGCATTCCGTCGAAATGCATGTACAAGAAACACTATTTGCCGCCAATTCGTAAAATCAAATGCCATACCTATATAAATTCATTACTTTATCTATAGCTGCTCAGAAGTTCTTTATTGCAAATATGATATCATCACAGGTTATGATAGCTGGATATTTTTTTCATTCCTATGAATACGAAACTAAAAGACAATCTGTCTAATAAATGGTTCCATCTGAAGATTTGCCGACAAAAGTTGGTATAATAAAAAGGGAAGAATTCTTGGGGGAAAAAAGGGAAATGGAAAAAAAAATCTGCTACCTTCTTTGGCCAGACGTGTCATTTCGCAACAATTGCAGTCCTCACTCTCGGTCCTTATCGTAGGTGCAAATCTGAAGGAAGATCTGACTACATGCGTTACGTTTTTAAATTAAGTGGAGAAATTTGGATATTTTGTATAGCCTGACGTGCTGTTGACTGTACATGCTCGTGTTTAAAAAAATGAGCTCTATATTTATTTTTTTTGTATTAATAGTAGTTTGGTCCTTTTGATATAACACATTCTTTTGATTGTTGATGATACACGCAAAAAATGAAACCTTTAATAGCAATTACTTCGAAAGTAGCCTAAAACTAAGATATCGCACTGCATAAGAACGGCAGTCAAGTTTACTTTAGAAAGCAATGGACCATCCGTCAATTGGGCTCCGTAGGCGAAGTACTATTGCCAGTTTTATGTTGTTCTTCCTCAAAGAATTTAAATAGTTTTCGATTTCCGTGCCTTGGAGTGCTCTGAATCAAATTTAGTTGTAGGAGCCCAAATCGAGAATATTTTTTTTACCTAAACACGTTAGGGGCACCTGTAGCCTGAGGGCCGTATAGTTGATACGGCGGTAGCTACGCCCCTAATATACACTGCACGTTCACTGTCTCGAATTTCAAAAACAGCCAGTAGCTAGGAACAACTTTATCCAAGGTCAGTAGTTTAGTCTAATCGATCGTTCTCTATTCAAAATGTGGTGAATTAATTATGATTCTATAAAAAGATTTATTATTATTTATTACATTATCGTAATACATCATCATAAGGCTATATGGCTATGCTGGGGCTCAAGCCTTTCCTATGGATGGAATCTAATCGAATAAGGAGAGTGAGCCATTCATGTACAGATTGGTGGCTATTTATCGACGGTATATGCAGCCGGGTTTAGCTTCTTACATGCCTTCCGAAGCATGGAGGAGCGCGTGTTCATACATTTTTGGCCACCCATACTATGACCGGCTCTTCTGAAAGTTGCTTATCATCTGTACACAGTATTTCGAATAAAAATATGTATCTATCACTCTTATCATATTTACAACTAAACGTTCGTGTTTAATAATAGCAAATTGTCTTTTCATAAACCGTTAACGGTTATTACAAAAGAAATGCTACCTTTGTCAATTTTCGTGTGATAACGTGGTATAGAAATTGATACCTCACACAGGTTAAAATGTTTAAGCCGTTAAAATGCACCCTGCGGTTATGTTCGAGTGAATCATTATCTCGGAATGCTTACCTGCTTTGATGGGATGTAAAACATCGATCGACCATTCTTACTTCACTGCCTATACATAGTATACAGTAAGAAAGCGAATACACCCAAAACCATGACGAAGAAAAATACCAGCATTGTGAATGCAAAAAAGATAATATAATAAAGAATGTTTTATACAAACTACTTTCCGACGACCTCGCTCGCGTTGTTTTATAACCTATGTCATCTGTGTATGATGTAGCTTTCTGAAGATGAAATAATTTTTAAAATCAGTTCAATAGTTTCGGAAACGATCAAATAATATTAGTATAGCTGTGGTATAGACAATCAATAATTCCAAATTGCGTAACGTTTTACTGCAATCAATGTAAATACACCGCGGGAAACAATATCCAGTGGCGACTGGTTCTTATTTTGTATTTATTTTAAATGCGGTAAACAATTCTATAAGAGTGTTCGATTTCTAGCACGCTGATCTGAAACTTTGCAGCTGCGTCTGCGCAATAAGCGGCGGTTTAGGTATACTGTATGTGTAGATCATTAATTTGTGCCATTAATGACCGCATATCGCGTTCCACGTTTTATTACCGGCTCTCACACTACTACTTATTAGCAAATTAATGTGGTTTTGATGCCCAATTAATTTTACTACTCGAATTTTTTTACCTTAATAGAATTCGTCTCCTTTTATTATTTACTGCACATGAACTGACTAATTTTATCAATTATGGCGTGTGCTTGGATTCCATTTTTTAAGACTTACTTTATAATAATACTGTTCTTATCATATTAATATTGCGTATAATCTTTCAAGTACTTGTTTTTTAGTTTCTGAAACGTGAATTAACAATGTAATTTTATTTGAAAATTCAAATTCAAGTCATTAATCAGTCCATGCTGTTGTGATATCAATGTTAGCGCGCACATTTTGGAACTCGAATTTGACCGAAATTCGAATTTAAATTTTGCATAGACATCTAAGTCAGATGACAATGCAATATTATGGTGTCAGTAAACTGATATAATGATAAAATCGGAAGGTGGTTATAGGAACTTAGTGATGAAATGACTCAACTGCATCGTGTTTGGGCTCGTTAGATCCGCCTTTATGAGGACTTTGGTACTGTATGCTTACCAGACCAAGGTCTGGTGATGATAGAGTTGGAAGATGGTCATAGTAAACCCTAGAAACTTAAAAATGAAGTAACGCAAGTGCATCGTGTTTGGGCTTGGGAAAATAAACAAGATATTGAAAAAAACTAAAAAAAATGAAATATTATAAAAAAGTTTTTATTTGTGCGCACTAAAACGCAAATAATAATTTTATGCAAGACGAGCAAGACTTGAAAAGCTTGTGGTGCGTAAAAAATATATGTATTTCCTCGTATCCGATTTCATTGGTGTTACAAGCTTTCGACTATAAATACCAGTGTAAGAAGACCCGTCAAGAAACTCAGCAGGAGATGCTTATTTATTCAAGAATAGATATTATTTATATCATCTTTAGAATAGCTTTATCTTAAACAACCGTCAAACTCAAATAGACAAAGGTTATCAACTTAGATAAAAGATTTACATACAATTATTTATATTTACAGAAAGTGTGGAGACAGATTCCGAGCCAGTGAACCGAGACATCGTTACGCTGAATTGCACCGTTGCTTACATGTCGCAGTGCATGTCGTGCGACAAATGCCGGGCGTCATGTCGCTCTATGGGCGCCCACAGTATAAGGTGACTGCGGCTAATATACTCCATTCACTTAATTGAATTAGTATGGCATCCTTACAGTTTTTAATGATAAACGGCCAGTTGCACAAACGTCCATTAAGGTTTAATGACGCCTTTATGTTCTAATGAATGTCAAACTTGTATGGGTAATGTCGCTTTAAACTAATGGAAGATTTAATGGACGTTTGCGCAACTGGCTGAAAGACAAGCAAAGAGATCTTGCTCCATTCTACATCTTTCACCTATTAATATCGCCTGGGGCACTAACTTTTTTGTTTTCTTAATGGATGGAACCAAATAGGAAAAACGGGCCATAACGTGCGCGAGCCCAGTGCGGATTGTTGGGTAATAAGACTGCAAATACAGCCGGGACCGTCGGTTGTGTTAACGTGATATCTATACCACTGAAGATTTTGGTTACCTATCCTATAACCGACGCTTGTGAAAGTTGCTTAACCTATGCATCGTAAACTAAATGCATTAACCACTCGCTATCGAGCTCGCTGATTGCAACTAACGCAAATCATAAAGATCCTCAATATTGTGGATCCAATAAAAATATAATAGGTATTACTGAACCGTTAAAAATTACACAACTACTTTATAAATGGTTTTAAGCAGTAGAAAATATATTTGTGAAATCAGAATAGGTCATTAGCAAAATTATAAACAGTATTTACATATATCCAAAGTGAAACTGGGGCATCCCCTAGTATGGGCATTCCGTACTAGGGGATGCGTTACTACTTAAAATATTCAGGTATAAGTAATACCATTTGAGCCGTTTCTAATTTGAGCCGGGGTCTAAACGATGGATCCGTGGGGCTCTGGAGCCCATCGTTTATATCAAGACATAAAAGAGAAACATTTGGACAGATCTGGTGATTGGAAGGCCGGTTTGTACCTCGCCCAAAGAGTGCCTTCTGGGCACCTTACCTAGAATAATTTTATTCATAGCGAAGTAGTATTATATAAAGGAGTTCATAATTATAATTTTTTGAAGTTAAATTCTATTCCATTTTTTTCAGATGGTTCCATGATGGCTGCTGTGAATGTGTCGGTGAGAAGTGTCTGTACTACGGTATCAATGAAAGCAGGTAAGCTAATAACATCATCAATAATTCTTATTTACAATGCACACAACATATAAGACGGATTACTGCAACTTTCTGTCGCCAGACTATAGCACTAGCACTTGTTCTAAAAAATTTTTAATAAACGTCAAACGTCATTCACGGACTAATGAGCAAAGAGTAAAGTAATAGTGAGCATAGTAAGAATCTAATATCTTTTGAATTTATAATTAAGAAGACTGTAATTTTATCCAGTAATACATCATTGCTCCATATTTGGATGTAAGAAGGTATCATTCATTTTCATAAGATAATATGTTTGAAAAAGTGATGATGGTTTAAATGAGCTGAAGTCATCCTCTTTTTATAATAAGACGAAAAGGCTTTAAATATTTGTAAGACGTTAGTTTATAACACACTAAGGTATCATAAAGTAAAATTAAAATACTCCAGACTTATGTGCAATATTAATTATTGTATTAACATTTTTTTTATTATTAATATTAAATGGGTATAAATATATAGATATAAAGAAAGGATATAAAGATATATATATATTATCCCCATGATAATATATATATCCTTAGTCATTTATATGTTTAATTTCTTTAACATAATGGACAAAACGCATTTATAGTTAAAATCGGTTTGTGAGCTACATATTACGTTTTTTCTTATAAAAACAAGATTACTTTGTATGCACAGTGGCAGTATTGTAATGCAATTCACTGTAATGTTGATAAGATATAAAACGTTTTATTTATTGATAGTTTATATTATTCCTAGACAACATATCGAGAATTCACACATCTATATAACAAATTACTAGCTTTCCGCCAGCGGCTTCGCCCGCGTGGTCTTGTATATACTTAAAAACCTTCCTTTTGAATCACCCTATCTATAAAAAAAAACCGCATCAAAATCCATTGCGTAGTTTTAAAAATGTAAGCATACATAGGGATATAGGGTCTGAGAAAGCAAGTTTGTTTTGTACTATGTAGTGATAGAGTATATTTGATATGAGACCACATTTCAAAAAGTTTATGTAATCATATTATATATAATCAATTATGTATTCATGTGGTAGCTCGGTGGCGTAGTGGATAAGCGCCGCGGCCCGCGATCGTAGTCGTTAAGCAACTTTCGCAAGGGTCGGTCACGGGATGGGTGACCAAAAAATTATTATCTCGAGATACTCCGTGCTTCGGAAGGCACGTAAAGCCGTTGGTCCCGGCTGCATTTGCAGTCGTTAATACCCTCCAATCCGCATTGGGCCAGCGTGGAGGGTCATGGCCCATCCTCCTTAACCATCCATAAGAAAGGCCTGAGCCCCTGCAGTGGGGACGTAGAAGGGCTGGTGATGTGATGTGATGTGATGTATTCACAATGATATACTGAAAAATATCTTCAATGAAAAGTACTCGTAGTTACTTAAAAAAATTACCGGTCACAGGCATCCCTAGATGGAACTTTAACCCGTCATTCGCAATCCTGTCGATTACTCTATAACTGCTTATATTATAATAATATTCATTTATTTACATAAAACATTTTATAAAATGTTATGTTTATACAGTTACATAAGTTTAAGTTGGTTATATACTTCCCAAAATCTACTTTATTAAAATAGCATGCAAATTCGTACATTTGACTATTCTATTCTAAATGTACCTGGATGTAATTAAACTTATCTAGATCAATGTATCGCTCTCGAAACCCATTGCATACTTCATGAAACTTGCAATATTTGTGTGTAAATATATATATACACAAATATTGCTTTGTTTAAAGGTATTAGATTATTGAAGTCCAGCGATGATTATAAAATCATCATGAGACGAGATATAAAATCTTTGCTCATTTTAAATCCATCTATTACTCATATAAGTGTTTAAGACAAGGACGTCTTCTTGTTACACCAACATTAGCATAGTGTCGGCACCGTGTCGTATCAGATTACCCGCAGGTGGGCACCATCAATTATTTCCATAATTAATAATTCAATATCTGGTCATCAACATATCGTGTGACCATATTCATAAATGTACGGAACATTGCTTAAAGATGTATTTGAATTTATAAAGTTCAATAATAACAATTTTAGTGTAAATATAGACTAAAAAAAAAGTTTAATAAAAGGTTCTAAATTATAATGTATGCGTTTAACTTTACACGGAAAAGAAACTTGTGCCCATGGGCTTAACGAGGATTTTCGACTAGGAACTCCTTGCGTTCGTCGTGCGTAGTCCTTCCTTAAGGACTTCATCAAATCGCTGTTTTTATCATGTCCCTGTGACATATTTACAGAAAACATTACGAATTATTATTTTCATATTTTTACATTTTTTTATTCGTTTAATAACGACTTCAGAAAAAAGAGAAGGTTCTCAACTCGACTGTATGTTTATTTGTCTGTTTGTTACGCGATTACTCCGCCAATTATTTTAACTTTTTAAATAACTTTTTTTTTATTCGACTGCATAATGGGCCGCAGTTGGTCCCTTTTCAATTTTATCGCAATCGAATCATTAGTTTTCTTTTTATAACAAAACAAAATATGCTTTCACAGATAACACCTAAATATTTTGATGACATGTTTATATTAGCGAAAAAACAAAAAATAGCATACTTTCCATTATTCAATATCCGAAAGGAGGATTATTTTTATGTTTAACGGCTATTAATACTATTTGTGCAAGTAGATTCACATTAAGTTCACAGATCTCTTAGTGATTACGTCGTGCAAATAAATAAAGTCTTCGTTATGTAAATATAATTTCTATACATATTTAATATTTAAGTGATACCTATACAAAATATTTAAAAATACCTTTTATACATATTATACGTATTTTATACGTATCACAAAAATAATACTTATCTTAAAAGCGGTTAAATTTTTCAAGAAGCATTGAAGTCGGTTGGTCGTGACAGTGCGTAATACCACACGGTTTATTTTGTCCTAGATTCTCGCATCTACTTTTTGTCTTTGATATTTAACATCATTTCTTTTTTTATTACAAGTATATAAGACAAGTATTATTTTTCACTTTCTTAAAGTTTGAAGTCGGTTTTACTTTTTGAAATATGTTTTATTTTTATCTTGTAATAAACAACTACCTACACGAATAGCCCTAGAAACGAGTTGAGAGTGAGATGTTGTATGAACGCCTCAGAGTAAATTTGCATTTTGATGTAGAAAAAATTTTTTTTATTCCATAATGCAGGTATGTGATTGAAGCTGCTGTTTTATCAGACATCATAAAATAAGGATGTTATCAATAAGGAATATTACGCAGTTTGTTTACTGCTAACTTCATGTGCTAGTGCTGCAATCTGGGAAGTTACCATAACCTTTTATAGCAATGTTTATTAATCCGTGCAGCGAGTTGTAAAATTGAAATCGAGAAATCTGCATATTAGTTTCTATATAGGATAGTAGCTGTTAACAAGTATATTTTCCAAGAGAAAAACTGTTTATCTTCAGATGTTTGGCATGTCCGGGGGGTAAGGCGACCACGGACAACGCTCTCGACGAAGACTTAACGTACGATGACTTCGACTACGGCGAGGAAGTCGACGCTCAGTCTCTCTAATGGCAATTATATCATAGAATTTTAAGTTTCATACCACACTGGTCACTTAAGGCGCTGTTATTACCTTCTGGTATATTTTTTATCTAATTTAAACTCAAACTTATATTTATATGTATAAATTATAGACTTGAAAACATGTTTATAAAATTATTTAAACGTGATTCGATGTTTATTTGACAGATTGTTATTTAAATACGCAAATAAAATAATGGACCGCCAGGACACAAAGGTTCCATAGTAAATATTCTTACATTTACAAAAGTGCTAATAATAAACATATGTGCTTAATTATGAACCCGTTACTACAAGAAAATATTGTCTATTATAAAGTGCTTTAAATTTACTGAAAACTGTTATCAAAGGAGAATCTCTAAAATTAAATAATGGGCTCAGTACACATATTTGCATTTGACGTTGTCAACGAATATCAGAACTTCAGATAGATTTCCAACTTTCAAAAATGTTTTATTGGAGAAACTAAAATTAGATAAAATTGACAATGTTATTAAATGAATTAGAGATACATTTATCTAAATTGATATTGTAGTTTTGATTTTAAATCTTATAGCGTTAAAATTAGTATGCAAAATTATTTGCGGTCTATAAAATATAGAAACCTTAATGATTTAGTGTAGCTAATTAAAATATCTAACATAGTCCTTAAGTGACGATGGTGATAATACATTATTGATATTGTAACATGTACCTTATTGAAAATTTATTCTTCCGTTTAGTTGTATTTATAAAAAAATAAGTAAGTATTAATAACTTTATTATGTTTTATAAAATATGGTAATAAATAAATTCTCTTGTAATAAGGTCGCATATAGATTAACTTTCCTTATTTATATTTGGATCGATCAAATATTTTTTATAGTGTTTTACTTTCCGTTCTGCAGCATAAATAAAGGAGCATATATCAAATTGTCGTTTAAAAATTCGTTCTATTTTCGTCATTGTGCCTTATAATAAATTTTAAAGATTTATATAATGTTATACCTAACCTTGCCATCTCTCTGTGAATAGGAAGTAATGCTGTTGTGTTTTATTGCAAAGACAACAGCGTTATTTGAATTATATTATTATCAAAAAGAGTTATGAACATCAATGTGAACGGTGAAAATACCGCTGATAATGGTATTGCAACATCCAATAAATTTGCTAGAATTTAAGGAAATTGCGATGACTCATTATGGGTCATTACGAGCTTCAAAATTCAGAATTATTGACTATCTCAACTTTCATAATTTATTTATCCATGTGATTCAGATACTCATACGCCCTTAGAGGTCGGTTTAATATTCAGTAATTTTATAAAATAATCTAACGTTTTAAATTTAAAAAGCTTCACTTACTGTAAACATGACTGTACGTCAGGTTACCACAATATTTCAAATTTATGTAAGTGATCCACTCTATTCTCATATTATTAAAGTTTAAAATCAAGAAGACAAGTGTGACAATTTTGTATAATCTGACGTGCTGTTGACTGTACATCAAAACAAATGAAACCGTGTACTATTGAGCGGAAAATTATTTGAAACGAGTCTATAGAAAATATTTATGTAATGTAATTAGTGATAACAATAGGTATGCAATCTTAAATGTATTTTTTGTCGTATTAATTATAGACATTTATAACACACCAATATGTTAATATTGGTAGCAAAGGTATCTCTTAATTACTTAATAATTTTATTGTTAACCAAGTTTTAATTGTCGTGTTCTATGAGTTATGTGACAGAATAAAACTTGAAAAATACGTAACCTTTTTAAATTACATACGATTTTCTTCATTTTATAGTATCAATAATTTAAAAATTGTATTTCAATATAATGGTGGAATTATTTCACTGTATTTGTGACGGTTAAATAATTCATACACTCGTTTAATTTCGTAAAAATAATTAATTGAATAAATTTTAAAATGATTTAAAATGTTATACTTTTGTATATGGTATGAAGCGCATAAATTCATATTATTTTTGAAGCTTTTTATAAGAAATATCTAGTTGTTAGTAATTATCTTAATTAAGCTTTAATAATAAGAATCTTTCTGTATTGTCGATCATTTTCGCAAGTGGACTATAATTTTAAGTTTTGATTTAATCATATCAGATGGAAAATGAGATTTTGTAACTCAGTGAACAGTTTGATGTAACTTCAAGTGCTACTTATTATTTATAAATTTTTTTGTAAAATCACGATAGAATATATCAAGCCTGTAAATTTTTGCCCTTACTCATCTAGAAATAATTTTAATTTAATTGAAATTCTTTAGTTAAATAAAGAAATAACTTTATATTTATCGGATCCGTCCTTTTCTTGTAATAAAGTTCTTTGAAAGTTTTAATGAAATATATAAGGATAATTTTTTAAATGTACAGAAAAATATTGACCTATCAAATGAGTCTCCGCGTGCCAAATGTATTGCTTGTACAAAATATGCCATTATTTTAGAATCTCATTTTTTATATAAACAAAAAACTTATACAAAGACTTACTGAAACTGGTTTTAGATCTTTTTCGTATTTATTTTTAATTCTTACTACATTTATGAGATGTTTCCAGCTCCATAAAGTCGCGGTCTCACAGAGATGTATTAGAATCTTTATCGAATGGTAAACTGTGTCTTATCTAGTAAAATTAAAAATTTTAAAGAGCTAGGTGGCGTTGGTCGAATATCCAGCTAGTTAAGTTAATTATCAAACTTCGTATTCCTTGTGATTAGGAGAAATAAAAATCCATATACAATTATACAACATCTAGAAGAAACGCATTAACAAACACCAATTTTGAGTAAAATGAAATCACTACATCTATAGTAAAATGTAACCGTTACAAACATTACATCTGGAATAAAATGTATTAACAAACACTACATCTAGAGTAAAATGCATTATCAAATACTACATCTAGAGTAAAATTCCGTAACAAACGCGTGAAAAATTAGAATGGTTGCAGTATTTATTTAACGTCCACGCAATATATTGGTTGTCATTGTATTACCAGTTAAAGTCAGAAATAAGATATAACAGTTTATTCATTTTATGAATCTTGTTATTTTAGAAAGTTTTGTGAGATAGTTTTGGTTTTTCGCGATGTTAAATTTTTTGTCAAAGCGCATCATTTATAAATTTGGTATATCGATACAAACAAGATGTATATTCAGTTGCATGATTCAGACGCATGACGTGAGTACGCGACTTTATGAGCATAAGAAAATAGTAGGTAGGTATTATAGTTATTTGCCATAATGTAATTTGTCATATTGCTTTATTTGGTAGTATTATTGATGTATGACTCTCGTGCCTTTTTTGATGTATATTATATTTTATACGATTTGTATACAATTTTTTTATGTAATGCTTTTATTATAAAAATAAACTGTTTTGTAGCTATACTGTATTTTTAATTATTGTGGACGCTGAATTAATACACGTCGTGAAACCCTCGAGGCGATAGGATTATATGCTCAGGCAAATGTCGACGACTTGGATGGCGCTATCGATGCGCTGAACAGAGATTTCGGCACAATTCTAAGTTGGTCTGATAGTTTTGGCATTACTGTAAATCCGACCAAATGCCAATATGTAACTGTGGGTAGCCGAATAATGATGAATATGATCATCATCATAAGGAACGACTACGCTAAACTCAGATTTATCATGTAAAACGGCTCTCTTGTACCATTTAGCGATAGTGTGAAGAATTGGGGCTGCACGTGGATTTTTCAAATTAGTTGTAGTTTGAATTTGCCAAAAGGTTACTGGGGTACTAAGAGTCTTATATCGTTTTAAGAATTTCCTACCAACCACAATCAGGGTAATGCTTGTGCAAATCATAATTTTACCTATTGTCTACTATGGTAATGTGTGCTACCTCGACCTGAATGCAGATCTACTCAATAAGCTTGACCGTGTTCTACGAGTAAATAACTGCATTCGATTCGTTTTTAATTTCCGTAAAGACGACCAAGAATCCCCATATCGCTCTCTTTTAAAATGGATGCCTATACGAAAGCGTAGAAATGTGCGGGCATTGACCAATCGCCGAATGACCCAAGCTACCTAATCCCCCACTTTCTGTATTTGTGTACAAGTCACACTAAAAATCTTCGATCCTCCACTAATCAATTACTTGTTTGCTCTTCCCATCACTCTGATATCATCCACTCCTCCTTTTTCGTTAAGGCTATTCTTCTATGGAACGCACTACCCTCAGACATCAGAATGTCCCCCAATAGGTAAGTTTTCAGAACAAAGTTGCGCGACTTTATAATGAAACAGCCAGATTCATGAAAATCGTTATCTCACGTCTAATGTTTATGTATGTGTGTGTTATATTGTATATCTTTATAATTTATTCATCTATGTATTTATATCTCTGTGTTTATCTAAATTGAGTACTATAGTATATGTAAGTATATATTTTCTTCTTATTGTTTAAGTGTATTGGTATGCACCTACCTTAACTTTATATTGAGTCTCCACATCACCTAAAGGTTGACTGGCAGAGAATGCCTAAGGCATTAAAGTCCGCCTTTGTACATTAGTGCATAAAGTATTAAATAAATGAATAGGGAGCACTTTTACCTTTCTCGCTATACCTCGTGTATTCATTAGTTTTGAGACAAACTTTTTACTGAAAAATAGAATAAAATGTTACTGGCTGTTATTTTTTACCGATTTTGAATTTGGAATGTTAACTTTTTATTTGTATCGCAAATTCATTTGTTTATATTTTCTCGTGATGGAGGTAAAGAAACAATTTTGAATGAAACTGGGTCATACCTGTACCCCTGCCTATTTTGGAAAAACTGCAAATTCTTGATAGCGATTTGTGTGAATGTTATACGGGATTGGGAGACATCAATCATTTATTTTTCTCTTGTCCTTTGGAATGATCATATAATCAGGAGGAATGATCATATGATCATTCCTCCTTTTATGACTCCTTATTATCTCTCCGCATTCCTCTTCCTAACTCCATATTATTTCTTTTATGTACTAACAATATTAATATTTACCATTCCTTAGCATGTTTTATAACGAAAAATAACATAAAAATATAAATATTGTATATATTACGTCAATTTATTTTCCTTTCTCAGTATACAAATCTTAAATACTATAAATATCCGAGTTCCTTTCCTAACTGTTTCCCTACCTTTTATATCTGACATGGCTGATACCCAAGCCGAGTGGAGCCGATGATAAAAAAAACAACCAAACAATTACGTGCAACTATCAATTCGTTATTGACAGTGGAAAAAAACCGATGCAGATTTTCCGCGAACTGAAAAGTTTTCCTGTAAGCCGTAGGTAACTTCGTCTTTTACACAATACAGCGGTACAAAGAGACAAGTTCTCTGCAAGATTGCCAAAGGAGTGGTCGGTCACGCTCAAGTATCAAAATCATCCGAGAGCGACTTCGCCGAAATCCATGTCGCACTCAGAAGAAACTCGCTCTGTAGACTAAGCTTTCGCGTGTTTCAGTGAACATAATACTGAAATATGAACTTAAGGTAAAGGCCTATGGATGAAATGAAATGACAATGTTTTTATTCAAGTAAGCTTGTTACAAGCACTTTTGAATCGTCCAAAAATATTTTTTCCCCTACCACTTGTTCAGGACGTCTATTAGCTGACAAGAAGAACAAGCGAAAGAAACTTACCAGCTTTTTATCATAAGTAATGACATTTACATAAATCATGTCATTACCAAAATAATACATATATTGAACAATAATAAATACAAGTTTCAAAGTCTGTAGGACATAGGTTGGTACATACCTATAATTAATCGTTATAGAACAGAGCGAAGGCTATTAATTCCATGCATTGCGGTACTTAAAATAATCATCAACTTTATAAAAGCCTTTACTCATAAGTATATTCTTTACATGAATTTGAAATTTATTTATGGGTAGGTCAATTACATTTTGTGGAACTTTATTGAACATAGCAATACATTTACCCAGAAATGATTCTCTGGTTTTTTGAAGTTTGAAGCTTGGAACGGCAAGTTTATTTTTATTTCTTGTGTTAAGATTATGAATACTACTTTTTTTTTATGAAGGAATCGTAATGTTTTCTTGTGTACATAATATTCTCATAGATGTATTGAGAGGCAACAGTCAGAATATTTATTTCTTTAAATATTTCTCTGTGAGAATCCCTAGACCGTAAATGTATATAGAACGGACAACTCTCTTTTGTAGAATAAAAATATCCTGAATGCTAGCCGCAGAACCCCACAACAATATACCATACGTCATTACACTATGAAAATAACTAAAATATACCAATCTTGCCGTTTCAACATTTGTCAAGAGTCTAATTTTCTTAACAGCAAAAGCTGCAGAACTCAGTCTACTTGACAAGCTATCAATATGAGGATCCCATTGCAGTCGGGAATCTAGTGTAATACCAAGGAACTTTGTCGATTCTACTAACTCAACTTTTTCACTTTTTACATTTATAAGTGTACTGACATGCCTCACATTAGGTAATGCAAACTTTATGCATTTCGTTTTATTTGAATTGAGGTTTAAATTATTAATATCAAACCACTGTGGAACATTTTCGAGAGCATCATTTACATCGTCAAAACAATCATTACCCCTCTCAACTTTAAACAGTAAAGAGGTGTCATCTGCAAATAATACTGTCTCGCACAAATTCTTCGTAAAGTGAGGAAGATCATTAATATAATTTAGAAAAAGCAATGGTCCTAATACTGATCCCTGAGGGACGTCCATAGTAACTGGTGCCCCTGCAGATTTCGCTTCATTAATTACTACTTTTTGAATTCTAGCAGAAAGATATGATTTTATTAGATTAAGTGAAATATAGCCGTAGAAAGTTCACTTTTTAAACGACCGTCTTGGTAAGTTACGACGTGAACGTTGTCCATTGCTGCTGAGGAGACATCATGCCAGGAAAATACTTTTCACTGACGAGAGAATTTTTACTGTCGAAGAAAACTTCAACCAACAAAACAATAAAGTGTACGCTAAAAGAAGCAAGGATGTCCCAGCCTCTGCACGGAATGTCTCGCGCATTCATCATCCGACTAGTGTGATGGTATGGAAGGAAGTTTCGTATAGAGGTGCCAATCCGCTCCATTTCTGCCAACAAGGTGTCAAGGTGAAAGCCAAGAATTATCAGAATGACATTTAAGAGCCCGTGGTGAAACCCCTGTCTGAAACGTTATTTCGCAATAAAGATTGGGTTTTTCAGCAAGACTTGGCGTCATCCCATAAGGCAAAAAGCACCCAAGCTTGGTTGAGGGAGAATGTGCCGGCCTTTATCGCAGCAGACGAGTGGCCCTCCTCCAGCCCCGACCTCAACCCGCTGGATTATTCATAAAGGGGCAGAATTAGAGCTCAAGGCTTGCCGAAAGTCTCACCCAAACTTAGAGTCAATGAAGCGAACCCTTGTTCGCGAATTCCGCTGGAAAATATTCGTGGCTCCATTGATGACTAGCCTTATCGTCTAAGGGCCTGTATTAAAAACAAGGGTGGTCATTTTGAATAAAATATATATTTTGTTATTGACTATTATCTATTCAGTGGTTTCTGAAAATTTTAGAAACATAAGTTAATTATTAGAAGAGTTACGTAACTTTTATTTCGCCTTAAAACTTATGAACACACGAGGTATAAAAAAATAGGACGACAAAATAGGGCGATGCCTTTCTGCAACATATAATTCAAGCCTTATTTGCACTAAAATATTATTATTTCGACACAGGTTCTGCTATACTTTAGTTATACCTACTTTGAGTTAAATTAAGAACCCGTGCGAGAATCATCCGATAAGTTGACTCGTTAAAAGTTTTTTATTAGCCTCGAGCACAGCCTATCCTTATGGCTTATGGAAACGAATCGAATATGCAGAATGGTCTGGAACCCACTACACGGTCGGGAACAACTGCTTAACGCGCTTTTCGAAGCACGGAGCTCGAGATAATAAATTTTTCATCACCCATTATATGACCTGACCCTGCGAAAGATCGCAGTTCTAATGCGCTAACCTTGGCGTTTTTAAAATTGTAATTAAACATTTTATACAATTTTATCCAAGTATATTCAACGTATATTTTTAGTGATACACTTCAAATATAATAATATACGGAGGGAATAGTTGTGATTCATTAAACTGTTAATTGCGGACAGCGTTCTTACTGATGGTTATTCATGATGTTCCTATTACAATTTTAAATAAGATTACGATGGCGTAATGTGGTTCAATGCATTGGCTTTTGAAAATAATGTAACTGCCTAATGTAGATACAATAACAATCTGTAATCTAATACGAAGATAGTCCGTTTACCTACTATATTTGATCGATTTTTCATTGACAAAATATTCTTAATGAAAATACTTTTAAAAATCCACTTTGTCCCTGGTACTCTGTAATGGGATTCGAAACCATGCCCTTTCGTAATCCGGGCGACTGCTCT